TAAGTCTCTTTTTTTTTTCTTTTTCTTTTTGATTTACAGGTGTTCAGTTGTGTTAAAAGTACTCAGAGTGCATCAAAGGAACACATCTTTTATTCTCAAAGATACCAAGGCTTCTCAGTTAGCAATTTGGAAATAGATTTCTGAAAGGAGGAAGCTGTTTAGTAACCGAAAATGCAAATATGCCAACACATTTGAGAGCTGTGATCTCTATTCTCCATTTTCAAAAAAGGGCACATTTATCATTTGGCATCATGTCTTTTTTCTTTCTTTCTTTCTTTTTTCAAGAACAAATAAAAAAATAGATTATGGACCTGCTGACCAACACTGGATCCAGGCCCAGGCCTAGGACTGCCTCAGCTGACCTGTGCAGGAGCCCAGGTTCAGGTTAGGCCCTCATCCCCCACCACCCTGGTTGACCAGCACATCCCCTCCAGAGCTCAGACCTTGCCTCAGCACTGTCCCTGCTGACCAGCAGACCTACTCAGGAATCCAGGCCCAGGGTAGGCCTTGGTCCATCCTGTAGGCCCCACCTGGAGGCCCAGGCCTAATCTACCTCCATCTTGGGATACTGCAACCATTGCCATAACTCTCCCCATGCAGCAGCCTCCACCTTCTGACAACTGACAGGGCTTAGAAGCAGCTGCATCTTGGAACAGGCATTCCAAAGCCACAGCAAGGCCCACCATTTCAGCCCCATCTCTGAAAGAGTTGCATCCATCATGGGACACCTCCATTGGTATCTTGAGTTACCTCCATTATTGCTGCCACCACCTTTATTTGCAGTAACATCCATCACAGGACACCATTAGTGTCTGGAAGCCCAACACCAAAGTGAGATTCAGATAATCTGCATGGATATTAAAATATTATAGGGTAGAAACTGTAATATCTCAGATCCACACTGCATGAAAGGAAGATACAAAGACAACATGAAAAAACAAGGGAAGAAAGGGCCACAAACAAACTAGGATATTACCATAACACAATCTATGCACAGCACAATTGATGAAATGTCAAAGAAGGAGGTCAGAATATACATAATTAAAATTATCCGTGAATTAAAGAATGACATAAATGAGCAAATACAGGCAAAAATGATCACTTGAAAAAAAAGATAAGAGAGAAAATACAGGTGATTCATTGATCACACCAACAAAGAGATAAGGGAGCAAATAAAGGTAGCAAAAGATTACTTCAAAAAGAGATAGATATTCTGAAAAAAAAATCAGGAATCCTTGAAATGAAGGAAACAACAAACCAAATAAAAAACTCAGCAGAAAACATCACCAACAGACTAGATCACTTGGAAGAAATAACGTCAGATAATGAAGACAAAGTATACAAAGTATACATGGAAAATAAATTTGACCACACAGTGAAGAAAATCACAAACAGAAACATTCTAGAATCATGGGATACCATCAAAAGACCAAATCTAAGAGTTATTGGGATAGAGGAAGGCACATATTATCAAACCAAAGGAATGCACAATCTCTTCAATGAATAATATCAGAAAATCTCCCAAGCATGAAGAACAAATTGGAAAATCAAATACAAGAGGCTTGCAAGATACCAAATCTACAAAATTACAACATCTCTACACCAAGTCACATTAAAATGAAAATGCCTAGCATACAGAATAAGGATAGAATCTTAAAAGCCGAAAGAGAGAGGAATATAGGGGGAGACCAATTCGTATCTCAGATTTTTCAACCCAAACCCTCAAAGTCAGGAGATCGTGGAACAACATGTACCAAGCTCTGAAAGGAAATGGATACTAACCAAGAATCTTATATCCAGCAAAACTAAGCTTTAAATTTGATGATGAAATAAAAATCTTCCAGGATAAATAAAAATTAAAAGAATTTACAGTGAGAAAGCCTGCACAACAGAGCATCTTCAGCAAATATTCCAGGAGGAGGAAATGAAAAACTACAATGAAAATCAGCAAAAGGTGGAACTACACTAAAGGAAAGACCAGTCAAAGGAGCAACCACATCAAGTTAAAAAAAATAAACCAAAATATCTAGGAATACAAATCATATTTCAATAATAAATCTGAAAGTGAGTGGCCTAAATTCATCAATTGAAAGACATAGATTCATAGACTTTGGATTAAAAAAAAAAAAGACCCAACAATACACTGCCTTCAAGAGACTTATAGGAAGAAACTTCCACCAACTGAAGGTAAAAGGGTGGGAAAAATCAACTCACATGGACCATGTAAAAAAGCTGGGGTTTCCATCCTCATATTACATAAAGTGGACTTCAAACCAAAGGTAGTGAAAAGTGATAAAGAAGGACATTTTATACTGCTAAAGTTATTCATACATCAACAAGACATAAGAATCGAAAATATCTATACCCCAAACAATGGGGCATCTATGTATGTCAAACAAACCCTTTTCAAATACAAGGCCCAAATAGACCACAACATAATAATACTGGCTGACTTTAACACACCTCTCTCAACACTGAATAGATTTTCCAAACAAAAACTAAACAAAGAAACTAAAAAACTCAATAGTAAATCAATAATTTGGACTTAACAAACACATATAGAATATTCCATCTATCAGTGAGCAAATACATTTTTTTCTCAACAGCACATGGATCCTTCTCCAAAATAGATCTAATGTTAAGGCACAAAGCAATTCTTAGGAAATACAAAAAAAAAAATACAGATACTATTCTCTATTCTATCTGAACATAATGGAATGAAATTAGAGATCAATGACACAATTAAAAAGAGAAGCTACTCCATTACTTGGAGACTAAACAATACACTAATGAATGATGCATGAATAACAAAAGACATCTGGGAGGAGATAAAAAAAATCTTATATGTAAAAGAGAATTCTGATACAATTTATCAAAATCTCTGGGAGGCTATAAAGGCAGTGCTAAGAGGAAAGCTCATTGCATTAAGCTTATTCATCAAAACAAAAAAAAAAGTGAACAAATAAATGACATAACATTACATCTCAAAGCCCTAGAAAAAAGAAGAACAAACCAACACCAAAAGTAGAAGAAGACAGGAAATAATTAAAGTCAGAGTGGAAATCATGAAATTGAAACCAAAGAAACAATTTTAAAAATTGACAAAACGAAAAGATGGTTCTTTGAAAAAATAAGTAAAATTGACAAACCCTTAGCCACCCTAAAGCAAAAAGAGGGAGAAAATTCAAATTATACTTAAAATTTGTTATGAAAAAGGAAATATCACTACAGATACTCTTTTAATACTGAAGACAATTAGAAACCATTTTGAAAATTTATACTCCAGTAAAATAGAAAACCTCGAACACATCAACAAACTTCCAATCAACCAAACTTGATCAAGAGAACATACACAATTTATTTTATTATTTTTTTAACATACCACAATTTTTATTGCAACCTGGCCATTTTTGTGAGGGTGGGGAGATTGATCTCAAAACAATATTCCATTTAAGGCTCTTTTATACAGAAATTGCCATCATGACTGATATTCAAAATATCCTTAGTGCCGCAAGACTCACATGGTAAACATAAAACTCCTACACTTATTCAGTAGTGTACATTCAATGGAAAACAAAAAGGCATTAATAACAGCTATTTCTTTTAAGAAGCTATGCAGGTAATAGAAATGAACACTCAGGTACTAGGATAAATTGATGACACAGTTAATGAAACTTAATTGGCATTCCTTTGGGGGGATTAAACTCATTTTTAAAAAGTGCTTTTAATGCATAGTGTTATATTCCTGCTGCCATGTCACAAAAGAAGGCTTGCCAAGGCAGGTGGGGTATATAAATGCTCCAGCGCCTCACAGACCTACAATCAAATGCAACTATAAATAATACTGAAAAAAATTCACCATCTGACCAGTGGATAATACTTTGAAGGCATTCAATCTGCTTACCCTTTGCAGTATTCTAGACTATTCACATTGACAATCACATTCATTGTAGTGCTTGCCGCAAAGGAGGCATATAACCAGTTGCTAAAATAAAGACAGGAAGGCATTCCTTCTACATAAAAGTAACCGTACTGAAGAGTCTAATGGCAATCACTGACAGGCTGCTTAAATGAATGATATCTCCTTCATTCACTGTATCGGAAGGGCCCAGAGGAAAGGGAAAAAAAAAATGAAAAAACACCTAATGCTATTCCAATGGACTGAGCTGGAGAAATGAAACCCCCTTAAGATCCATATGGCACTTGATGGTCATTTTATAATGGTTTTCCTTCAAGTGAAACTACTACATTGCCTCCCAATTTCTCTCCAAGTGTTGATCCAACTGCAAATGGGTGCAACCAATCCAGAAAGCAGTATAGAGATCCCTTAGAAAACTTGGAATGGAACCACCATTTGACCCAGCTATCCCACTCCTCAGTCTATACCAAAGGACTTAAAATCAGCATAGTATAGTAAAGCAGCCACATCAATGTTTATAACAGCTCAATTCACAATAGCCAAACTGTGGAAGTAACCTAGATGCCCTTCAATAGATGAATAGATAAAGAAACTGTGGTATATATACACATGGAATTTTATGCAGCATTAAAAGAGGTTAAAATCATGGCATTTGCAGATAAATGGATGGAATTGGAGAATATTATGCTAAGTGAAATAAGCCAATTTCAAAAAACAAAAGGCCTAATGTCCTCTCTGATAAGTGGATGCTGATCCATAATGGGGGACCTGGATAAAATGGAGTAACTTTGGTCAAAGAGGAGGGAGGGATGGGGAAGAGGCATGGGGACAGGAAAGATGGTGGAATGACATGGACGTTACTACCCTAGGTACATGTATGAGTGCACATATGGTGCAATGCTACATCGTGTACAACCAGAGAAATGAAAAGTTGTGCTATAATTGTGTATAATGAATCAAAATGCATTCTACTGTCATGTATACCTAACTAAAAATAAATAAATTAATTAAAATATAAATTCTGTGATGACTTATTATTTGTCCTGAATAAGAATAAAATTGTAGAATATTATCTCCCATAAAATTACAGATTCCTTTTTAAAACTAGAATGTAAAAAATAATTCCAGTTGTCTGATATGTTGAAAGAAGAAGGCTCATGGAGGCATTTCTGCGATCCATGCCCACTCCAGGCCCACCCTGTCCTGGCCTAGGAATTATGTGATTATGATGGACAAGTATCCATTCATAGCATCTTATAGCCATGATGCTTTTGGAAAGAAGAAGAGCACTGTCTGAAAATTATGTTTGAAAAGGTTTTTAAATATTAGCATTTATTTCTTGGAAAGATTATATAAATGAGAATTCTAAGCTATTATGTCTTGGAATTTTATATTGTAACTAGCTTTTTTACCATATGTGACTGATGCCTATACTATCCTTTTTTGACACTGGATTTTCCTTATTATAGCACAAGAAAAGTCTTATCAGGAGCCTTAAGAAATATCTGTATTTCAAGAATCATGAAGAATTCAACTAATAAAATATAATGGAATAAGAAATGAATTATAACATCTCTTACAAAATTTATAAAAAATAAAAGAACTGTGTAAAAAGCACAGTATAAAGTTACAGCAAAGACCTATAATAAAACGAAGAAAAACCTACTTTCATAAACTGGCCAATATTATTTAAATTCATATGCAAATTTACTGCATTTCAAATCAGAATTACTACAATATTTCCTTTTGTTTTATTTTTTATTCTGGGTGTACTTATTTCCAAGGTTTGGCTGGTGAGATGTTAGACCTGGAAAA